CATAAATAAGCGTCCTCTAGTTCTAGGAACCGTTGGGAACCCTCCTCCTTTTTGATTCATTCCTCACCACAGGATCTATGAACTATTTTAGTTCCTAGAACCGCATTAAGAGGAACCTTTTGAGCTCCTGCTTCAGAGTACATACCAAGGCGGTGCGAATGCAGACAGAAAAAAAAGATCAATGCTGTGCAGTTTTTAGGGAACTCTCTAGTGGATAGTTCCTCTTCAAAAAGGACTCAGAACTGTTAGGTCCGAAAACACCTATTATGAACTTTATACTTGTTGTTTACTCCCCAGATGAGGGGCTCAACTTTTCTTAAGGGGCTCAAAAAGAGTTGTGTACCATTGATCCATGGAGGCTATGTCTGAATCTCTGTGATTGTTTTTTGTAAGAAGCCTCAGTAAATTTGCAAAAAGGTTATCTATTTTATGCTTAGCTTTCACGCTGCTTACATCAGCATCATATTTTTATTTTTTATCATACAGTGTGTGCCGATCGAGACTTAAGCTAATCAGACCTATTTGTTTTTTTTGAACCAGGCTGTAAACATGTTAATGTCTGCTGTAAAAACAGGCTTTTTAGAATGGGTGTGTATGTGACTTCCTGTGCTTCTGCAGCCAGCCTCTAGTGGACACTCGAGGAACTGCAGGATTTTACACTTCAGCATCGGCTTCATTTTGTCAACACCGGAGGTTCCCGCTTGGTCCAACATGTGAGTGATATCAGGGCTCGGATCAGGACTTCAGGAGGTGTGTGTGTGTGTGTGTGGGGGGGTAAGGTAGGGTGTGGAGTGGGGGGGGGGGGTATGGGAGAGGGAGGGGGGCCTTGAGCAGTCAGGACAAATTAAAAAGCCAACCTGCTATTTTACTGTTCAGATCTGTTGATGCTATAAAGCAGGAGAATGAGGCTTGGCGGCCTTTACATGACTACTCGGCTGATTTTATGTGATCCCCCCCACCCCCCAGGCCCTGAATCTAAGCCTTTTTGGCACAACATGCTTTGCCTTGACCAAGCATTGGATCTGTAAATGCCCTCATAAATACTTTTTAGCACTTTATTTAGTTCCATGCCCTGAGCCAACAGCATCTAAAGTATGTCACCAGGGAACAGTGGGCGAAAAAAAAACCCTACAGGCCAAGCAGGGCGTAATGTAGATTTAATTAACAAGCGAGGCATGGACACATGTACACACACACACACACACACACACACACACACACACACACACACACATACACACACACACACAAAGGATGAGGATACACAAAGAAACACACAAAACGTTGGAACCCACACAAATAACTATAGGTTAATGATTTCATAGTCACACACTTAACAGAGAAACACACACACACACACACTTGGAGCCACACATCCCCGGGTAGAGCGATGGTGTGAAAATATGTGAGTGTAAATGAGATGCAGACAGGCTCACAGCAGTAAAGAGAGAGAGGATGTGGCTTGGCTATGTATTGCTGAACTCAACGTTTTTTGGAGCAAGGACTCATTTTTTGAATTCTGTGCATGCTGATCATCTCTGAGTGGAAAAGGAGCTGGACTTTTTTCAGGATGTGGGGCCGTACTTGTGAAGATTCCCAGGACAACGAGTCGCTCCTATAGTGACGCATTCTTAGCCTTAGTGATGTTTTCTGAGAATTTCCCCTTGAAGTGAAGACCAGATCCTGGTAAAGATTAGTTATTCTTAAGAGAACCCCTCAGGGGAAAAGCTGTGAGGAGGAGTGAGGAGTGGAAAGAGTTTTTCGAGCAGAGGTGAAGAGGAAGAGAGGAGGAGAAATGTCCTCGTACAAAGAGTGACAGTGAGTTTGTTGACCGTACAGATGGATCGTGTTTGTGGAGGATCTCATTAGGGACGTCCTAAGGAATAAATAAATGTAACTATCAGAACGTGAAGAGGCTACTGCTCAAGTGTTTTCAAACATTTTGTTGGCTATACAGAATTCAGTCTTTACATTAAATAATTTTAATATACCTGTCCGACTAGAGGGCTGCACAGTGGTTATCTCTGTCTCCTCACAGCGAGGAAGTTCCTGGTTTGAATCCACGTCTGACAGGAGCCTCTCTGTGTGGAGTTTGCATGTTCTCCCCGTGCATGTGTGGGTTATCTTCCTCCCACAGTCCAAAGACATGCTCGTTAGGTTAACTGGTGACCCTAAATTGTCCGTAGGTGTGAATGTGAGTGTCTGTCTCTATATGTCAGCCCTGTGATTGGCTGGTGAACAGTCCAGGGTGTAACCCCGCCTCTCGCCTAGTGACAGCTGGGATCAACTCCGCGACCCAAAAAAGCGGTAAAGATGATGGATGTGCGACTAGAGTCTACGATCAGACCGATCGATGTCATTGTCCTCTTTTGCCCATTCTTACTAAGAATGTATTTTTCAAAATCAGTTATAAAGTTTCTGTCCCTCTGTCGCTCAGAGATTATCCGTTTATGTTCACGCTTCCCTCTACAGCGAGGACTCCTTCCAAACAAAAGAAGTTTAAAAAAACTTTAAAAAAATGTCCAACTCCCTCTCACATCGAGAGACGCTGGCTCCGAAATCACTCACTACTTACTATACAGTGAACACAGTGAGCATCATCATAGCCTATATAGTGCACTCATTGTATCCCACAATGCATTGTGAAAAGTGAAATGAGGATATGATCTAAGTACACACGGCCGGTACAGTGAAACTGCGAATGGCTCATTAAATCAATTATCGACAGACTGACAACATGAGAGGTGAACATACGCTGCAAAGTTAATAGTTAAAGATATAACTGCTGAGTCCTCCACTGATATCTCATCATTCAGAGAACATTTGAGGTCATTAAAGGACTGAAATGTAAATCAGCAGGGCTGAAAGAACTCAACACCTCCGTCATTTCTTTCTGTTCAGACGGTGACATCAGAGCAGATGGGTGTGATGTAAATGCTTGGCACTCAGAGGAACAAGCTGTGCTGTGATCTCACTTTGTTCTCCTCACATGAAGAGTTTGGTTTCAAAAGGAGATATCAGCAGGAAAAAAAAAAGTTAAGTCAAAATTAACGACGGCTGATCATTGAGACGGATTACACTACATGTCAGTTATTTAAGATGATGGAAAACATCAGTTTTTGTACCTCAAAGGTAACATATCCTCCTCCTCTTCAACCAGTTTAAATAAGTCTCAGAGCTTCCCAAAACATGTGTGAAGTTTTTTGTTCTAAATCCACTCTGATCCTGTATTTGATCATGCCTATAAACCCCTCTATTTCAGCCCTGCTCAGAACAGACTGTTTCTGTGTCTGTACCTTTAAATATGTAAATGAACTGTGTCTGACCACGCCCCCTCTCTGGAAGGGCTCGGGTGCCTCGGTCTTTCTCGCTCCATGTCCTATTGTTTACGGTGAGAAGGCAGACTCAGAGGGCAGAAAAAACACGCTGTAGGAGTGTCACCCACCTGGTGGAGGGGTTACTGACCTTTGTGATGTCATTTGATGTCGTTTGAGCACACATTTTCTGAAAAGAGAGGATGGACTTTTCTCATCATTGAGGGGTTCGTAGACAGACTAGAGACACATGTTAGAGTTAGAGGAACATGGAGAAGTGGATTTTACAGATTATGTGACCTTTAGAGAATGACTTAAAACGGATTAAAAAGAGGCGACAAAGTGAGGAAAGTAAACACAGCTTTATCAAATAAATACTCTGTTAATTAAATAAATAGTAAAGTAAGACAAAAGAAGCTTCAGGTAAAACATTATCAGCACTGATTACATCGACTGAGAGCAGCTACTTCACACATTCATGAGTTACACCTGTGATCATAAACACCACATTTTACATCAACATGATCAAATACATTCAGTTACAAATCTTACATCAAGCAGAATCAGTCAGTTTATACAATCACATCTGTGAACTTCCAGCGTTAGCTTTTTAGTCCATAATTACAGCAGGTAGCTTTAATAATGTGAAATAAAGAGTGTCTGAAGGACGAGTGCAGCTGCCTATATGGCCCGACCTCACACAGAGATGCGTCATCCTATAAGAGGCCTCTCTAAAAACGCCTCACCAATACTTTTAGGGATTGAGACCGAGTCAGGACCAAGGCAGGGCGAGATCAAGTCAAGACCAAGACTTTTAGGGATCGAGACCAAGTCTAGACCAAGACCAAGGCAGGGCGAGATATTTGTGGGGCGTGTCACTCACTTAGACTGTAACACAGGGAAGGTTGCGGCCGTAACCGGGGGATAAAAATCAAACTAGGGGCACTGGTGGCACATTGGTTAGTGCGCATGCCCCATATATGGAGGCTACGGTCCGCCCAGGTTCGAGTCCAACCTGTGGCTCATTTCCTGCATGTCGGACCCCACTCGCTCTCTTCCTGATTTCCATCTCTATCCACTGAAAAAAGCCCAACAATAAATCTTAAAACAAAGAAAAAAAAATCAAACTATAAGTAAATTGAAGTTTTTTGTTCTTTGAGAAAGAGGTGTTTTTACTTCTAATCACAGTAATGACGAGGAAAAATGGCCTCTCGGCGGTTGTCTTGACTGGTCTTGATTTTAAATCTGGAGTCCGCCCAGTCTGAGACCGAGACAAGACCGAGTAAAAATGCTTTCGATTCCGAGACCGAGACCTTCAAAAAGTGGTCTCGAGACGATTTTGAGTACTACAACACTTGTCTTCACATCTGTCCAAACAAACCGGGCCGAAGGGGGAACCGCCCCCCTTGGTTTCTGAACTACTTCTCCAAACGATCCCAGGTATGAAAGACTCCCTAAAATAGACTCCATTAATGCTACCCATAATAATAACAATGAAAATCACATTTACAGAGATAGTTTAGACCAAGGTTCTTAACCTTTTTGACCTCGGGGCCCATTCAAATATTAACACTGTATTGATTTAATTGATCTCACTCTTGGTTTGATTTGTATTCAATAAATAAATCACCACTAACAGTTTAACAGGGTAAAACCTTGTGAAATAAATGACATGATACAATGTGATCATCACAAAGATTTCATTTATCATGTGTATGTAAACCTGCACATACAACAAAACGCTGAACAGGCTAACAATTCATGGAACAGATCAAGCTTATTAACACAAAAATAACTAATAATTAGATTTACTACAGCAAAAAAGGAGGGACTCTCAAAAAAAACTGATGAGAAAATTAGGAAATTAGATCAATTAAATTATGTTACCTCCATTCACAAAGCCATACTTAATGAAGTCAGGATTATACTTGTGCAAAAACGCCTTTTGGGGGCGTTGGGCACCACTTTCGTCTTAATTTTTCCGTTTCAAATACTTCTCTAGAACTTTCACTACAAGCTAGCAGCTGGCTGAGTGTCTTCTTCTGCTTATTGGAACTTGTTACACAACTGACTGACGGATTACCGACACCAAGTGGTGGGAAGAGGTATTGTAACTGAACATCTCATGGATAACAGTAATATCTGTCTGGTCAATTGATAACCTATGCAGTCCCATAGGTGCGGCCCACTCACCCTCGCAGCCCATAGGTCCAAAACTGAATTTTTTTTTTCGGCCCTCTAGGTGGTGCTCACTGGCCATGGTTAAAAATCACTGGTTTAGACTGCTCAACTGTTTCCAAAGCCTTCCCATGAGAGCCGACATGCTTCGGGTCGTGTGGCTAACACTGTGTGGAGTCGAAGAGCGAGACTCTTTCCTCTGACCCTAAGAACACTTCACATAACCCAAATGAGCAGATTGGAGATTGTAAAATGTGGAGTCACCTCCAAATGTTCAGTCATATTTCCTCATCTTAATGAGCACGTTCATTTTAATACAATCCCATGAGGCTGTTGAATAGACGTGGAGATATCGAGACAGCGTGATGAAGAGAAATCTTCATTCTCTCACCTCCGACTTTACAGACATTGTTGAAGACAAAACAACAGTACAGGCGCTCAGACGTATGAAGGCTTAAACAGGCTGCAGTATTTACACACACACACACACACACACACACACACACACACACACACACACACACACACACACACACACACACACACACACACACACACACACACACACACACGTGGTAAAGGTGGCAGAGTTTAGTCTCATCAACACTGTAAAAGTCAGGCACATTCACCAACACTTTAATAACATTCCTGCCTCCAACCACAACGATTTACCACACACACACACACACACACGTCCCCTACTCTAAAACCCGCACATCCATCCGCCCTTCACTCCTCTCCCTGCAGCGCTCTCTTCACTGCCTCGCTGCCTTGTTTGCCCGCCTCGGCCTCCTTCAGAGCGCTGATGACAGGTAACCACGGCGGAGGCAGCTCAGGCCCCGCCCTCTTCATCTGGTTGAGGTGACTGAGGGCGGCGTACAGCCCGGTGTTGGGGCCACCGTGGATGATGCCCGGCTCCTGCTGCTCCTGCTGCTGCTCAGTGTAGTACATCTCCAGAGCGGCCGGCGTGCAGTGCTTCTGCTGTGACGACACACAAAGAACAAAATAACTTTGAAGCAATGCAGGAACTTTTCATGACACGCACAGGAAACACATCTCACCTGTGAGTCACCACAGACTGTTTATTTGTCTTTCTAATGATCCTTTTACATATTTCTGAAGATAATAACGGAAAAACAGGATCCAGTCTGTTTTATGAGTTTGTAAGAACAATCCGGGCGCTTAATGAGTTCAGTTATTGTGAAGTCAGACACTGCGTTGGAAAATCTGACTCAGTTTGTGTAACTAAATTGCAGCTCTGCAGAAGGAAGAGATGAGGTCATGTGCGAGCTGATGATGATGCACAGTAATAATCATAGTTTCCAAAGAACCTCTATTAATGCTGCGGTGTCCACCTTTCTGCAGCAAAGCATGCGCTGTGCGTTCAGGAGCGACTGGGTCAAGCACTTGTCCTCTGACAACAGCCGTCGTATGACCGACATGACGCTGCTGCTTTTTACTGCATGTTTTATATTTGAGACCTATTTTTTTCCGTCATGAGCATCAAACGGAGGATGCTCGCCCTCCTAATTTGTCTGGAAACAGAGTGAGGAGGATGTAGGTTCAGGGCACGATCTGTAGGAGACAAAATGTGGAATATCATACATTTTCAAAAGACCGCCGGTGATGTGACCAGCGCCTTTCTGTAAAGTTGACAGATTTTCAACTTGCAGTGTTCTGAGTGGCCGCACGAAAAAAGGATCAGAAAAAAGACAGTGGGTGCTGCGATTTTCTCGCTATCATGACTCCGATCAGACATAGCGAGAGGAGGATGTAGGTGCAGGTAGAGGGGTAATCGTATATTTTGAAAAGATGAAAGACTTTCAACTAGAAGCTCGACGGAGCGGTTGAATAAAGGACCCTGGGGGCTGCAATCACTCTCTCCTCATCGGGAAAAATAAAACAAAAACACAGGGCTGTGTCCGAAATCACTCCCTATCCACTATAAAGTGGACATGCCATTTTGTAGTGCTGTCTGAATTCTGAGTGAGCATGGCCATACCCTATATAGTCCACTCAATGTATCCCACAATGCATTTTGAAAAGTAGTGTATGAGCGATGGTCACTATGCGAGCAATATATACCATCATGCATTGTGGTTCAAAAGATTTTTACGAGCGGAGAGTGGCGTTTGACTCGGCTGCTCTCAAACGGACGAGAGGAGCGAGCAGCATGAACACAGAAACTCAATAAAGTTCATATTCAGAGCGTTTTACTGAAATCTATGATCAGTTTTAATAAAGATTAAAAGATCGTCAACTTTTGTGATGTTAGTTTGTCCTCATGATGATGGCAGACAAGAAACCAGAGTCTGTGATCTTAAATAATTTAGTTTTGGTCTGAAAACATGTCTCATTTTGTAAAATTCAATATTTTACAAGTATTTATTATTTGTAAACGTTTCGTGAAAATACACTCAGTATAATGTGAGTTATCACTGAAATTCATGCTGTTATTTACCGTTGTTATTGATCCTCGACCGTTGTTAAGCTGCGCATTTCAGTTGCGCGACAACAATGACGTCACTGTCAGCGGCCGGTGAGTGAGCGAGTAGTGTCCGAAAGGTTTTTTAATTTTGCTGAGAGCACTATATAGTCCACTGCATTAAACTCACCATATAGTGAATAGGGAGTAGGGAATGAGTGAGTGATTTCGGACACAGCCCAGGTCTTCTTCAGTACATAAGGGTTCAAAGTTCACAATGACAAAACTCTACAAAAAAGGAATCTTTTCGTCCTTTCACCTGTTTTTATTTAAAGGTAAGGATGGAGTAAGAGAGAGAGTGGGGAACGACATGCGGGAAAGGAGGAGGAGGACCTGGGCCACCCGCCTTCATGGACCCCAGTCTCTGTACATGGGGCATACAATCTAACCACTAGGCTACCGGTGCCCCCTGTATCTATATTTTGTCCCAGTCCTGGTCCGTACACCAAATTTGAAGGCCCTCTAAAAGTTCAGGATTATCCAGAAACATTAAAAAAAAAACTTTTGCATCAACTTAAACTCAGTGAAGCAGTGAACAAACAACCTGAGCATCCATCCTGTGAATGGTCACTTTTGAAAAACTGTGCTGCTCACCTCACCAGCGTCAGAGAAGGCCCCGGTTATAGAACAAAATGACTGAGGGTTGCATCTGACATGAAAGAGGGGTGCAGCAGCTACAGTGACCGGCAACAGCAATGACAGGTCACATGCACCTGTCCTGACCTGTAAGTCAAGTCTTGATTTCTTATAGTAAAAAAAAAAGAACAATTGTTTTTTAATTGAGGGTGCAGAATTTTAAAAAAATTAAAACATTTTAAAAGCAATGAATGCTTCTGCAACCCTTGTAGAATCGGGCCTGCATCAGAGGATCCTCTACCTGACCTTCCGTCACAGCAGGGAGTCAAACCTCTGAAGCAGCGACTCGGCCTGTATTCATCCTGGCTCTTACATCCTCATGTTTTAGGTCTCCAACATTGCATTAGCAGGAAAATGCTGAAACCAACTGTAACAGGCAAAAAACTTCAAAAGCCTTTGCCGGAAGGTTTCCCTCCCCCCCTTCCCCCCTCACTGTTAAGCCTTTAATCACAGTTTAGTCACGCTCAGCTCTAATTAAAGACCCCTACGATTCACAGGCGGGCGACCCAATTCCTGGCCGACCAGAGAGAAGGGTCCGCCTCCCCCGCCCTCTCATTTTCTTCTTAAACTAACATGCGGGGCAGCGCCGGCCCGCTACACCATGCCTCCAAGGTGTTGTTGGGAGATAATGAGTTTGTGTTTCCTGCGCTAGTTTTTTTTAAGAGAATCCTTCTGAAGTGACTGATGTGAGGGCGTGCCGAGAAACGACACATCAGCTACAGTGAAGACTTTCAGTAAGTAGCCTTTTAGTGGGTGTCACACTGACTACTATTGGCCGGGGAAAATGCAATTAGAGGTCAGTGATATCAGACGACGAGATTCTGATACGAGCTGATCTCTGCAGAACAGCAAGCAGTGATGGATGAGATATTTAGATCTTTTTCTTCTCCATGTTTAGATGTTATACTTTCTGCTACCATGTGTTTTAAAATGATGCAATCTCTACTTTTCTAATTATGGATAGGATTAAAATGAAGCACAGCTCTAAAAACAAGAGAAAAAGAGAGAGAGAGAGAGTACTGTCTATATCGCACAAATACGATGTTGCCAACGTACTGTATCTGTGCAACAAAAACTACAAATCCCACTGTTGCATCCACCAAAGTGCTCTGTGGATGGAAAGCATAGCAGCGACTTGAGTTATGAGAACATCAACTCTACTGAAGAGACAGCACAGAGTGAGCAGGAGTTTTCTGCATATTTTGGTAGTTAAAAACAGGACGTCACCAAATATTTAGTGCCCAGGACTTGTAGTTTTATATAGTTTTTAAAACCTGGTAGGGGAACAAGGACCACGCCTCAAACGCCTTACTCACTCCTATTCCTCTGACGCTGATTTCACACCGGGTTTTTTTCTATTGCAGGACCAAAACTGTAGAACTCTTTGCCCCCACACGTCCATCTCTCCCCCACTATTGGTGTTTTTAAAACTTGCCTTAAGACATATTTATGCTCAATTGCCTTTAATGTTCAGTAACCCTCCAAGCACAAAAACCTATAGCTCTGTTAGTCTTGTGTTACACTGGGATTAAATGTCACTTGTTCTTTTATTTTAGTTTTTATTGTTGTTGTTCTTGTCTGTTACTTTCTAATGCTTTGTTTTCTGCAATGTTCAACACTTTAGATCAACTGTGTTGTGTACAAGGAGCTATATAAATAAAGTTGAGTTGAGTTGAGTCTGGACCCCTCTGGTTTGCTCATTTCATACGAGCATCAGCTAACACATGTCCATCATCCTTCATCCCTTCATCTCTTGCCCCTCACAATCTTCCCATCATCCTACCTCACTCATCCTTTCGACCTCCGGCGTGCATATTATCATATCTCTCTTGGTGTGGTTGTTGTAAGTGAAGTGTTGACTGTACCAAATCCGCTGTCGATATCGTTTGATTTTTACTTGTATCATAAATTAGCTTGGCGTACACTGTCAGCTTTTAACATGTCGAGGTGGAGCGACATCTCACGCTCTATGAGTGAAGCGTTTATGACGCACGACCACAGATCACAATTTATGAGCTCTGACTGAACGTGTTAAATCAGGACGAAGCATTAACGATTGTCAGTAAAGTTTCCTATGAAAAATACCTCTGAAGAGTGTGTTTGTGTGTGTGTGTGTGTGTGTGTGTGCGTGCGTGCGTGCGTGCGTGCGTGCGTGCGTGCGTGCGTGCGTGCGTGTGTCTGTGTGTGTGCATAAATACTGCAGTACATATCTACCTTCAGGATGAAACCCTCTGGGCAGGTGAGTTGGTCGTACCACATGGCTTTGTACATGAGGAGGAGGAGCAGGCTGGTCAGGAAGGCCAAAGTGATGAGGATCAGACCTGTGATCTGACACACACACACACACACACACACACACACACACACACACACACACACACACACACACACATCATTAACAGACATATAATTCCCGTCTTTTTGTGTGCATCATTTTTTTTATTTTTAACACCACACTTTTAACCGCTTATAAGAATGATTTATGACCTATTTATCATGCTTTTAATAGAGCCACTTGTGTGTGTTTCTGATGTTGTTTTTGTGTCTAGCTGTATGCGCACTGATGCTCTTTTACACAAATGAAGTTCCTAACGGATAAAATTAATTATTTGAATTTGAATCACATTTTCTACTTTGACCTTAACCCGGTCGTCCCCCTTTTCCTCTACAGTTCAAAATGATGCAGACATGATTGTAGGGAAGCCTCATGTGACATCACTCACATTAATGTGGAACATAATGGCACTCTGCAGTGTGACAAAGTAGCAGAAATAAATAATGTTGCTGTTGCACCTTTGCTTTATCTGAAACATCGCTGTAGAAGTTGATATTCAGCCTCTTGATGCTCGGCACATACAGCTTCTTCTTCTTCTGCTGCTGCAGCTGATAATGTGTTGACGTCTTCACAATGACCTGCAGCAGAGACAAGGCACTGTTATTATCACCCTAAATAGCTATTATTTATTTGACATTGTGTATTTCCCACAGTGTTCAGAATGAGTTAATGAATCCAGAATCGGCTGACAAAAACTGTTTTGCATGTCTAAAAATAATTGAGCATCATTTGCTAAAAGCAGCCGATTTAATCGTCGACTGAAAGGACGTTTGGGAGAAGCAAAGTGGATTTTGTTCAGCAGCATCTAATTAGCCTGTGGAACATCCTGTGCAGCAAAGCGGATCCTCCAACCTTGATATCCATGCGTGGGCTTTCGACTTGCATTATGAATTAAAAGAGGGGCCTGCATCATGTGGGCGGATGCCAAGGTTTTAACCTGGCACAGCAGGTAAGGGCGGTAAACACATTAGGCTCAGTGTTTGGAGGGTCTGCGCGCCAACACTAGTGCGATCTGTTTACTCTTTCTGTAATGCTGTTATGCACAGTTTGCTGTGGTCGGCTGCGTCTAAGAAACACAAACATTTAGAGAATGAGCAAACAGTCAAACAGACGCTCTATGAGCTGTTAGGTTTTCAAAAATGTTGAAAACATTTCCACAACGTGGGTTTTAAAAACAATGCATCTGTCCTGATAGTGATTGATGGATTCAAAAAAAAGTACAGAGCTTTAAAGGTCACATATGTAAAAACCACCTCACCATGTTTCTCTAACACTAATATGTGTCTCTAGTCCGTCTACAAACCCCTCAATGATGAGAAAAGTCCATCTTCTCCATCTACTGTCTGCTCCACTTTTCAGAAAATGTGTGCTCAAACAGGCTGTTTGGAGATTTTCCCTTCGTGACATCACAAAGGGCAGTAACCCCTCCCCCAGGTGGGTGACACTCCCACAGCTAGGTGTTTGTTCTGCCCTCTGAGTCTGCCTTCTCACCGTAAACAATAGGACATGGAGCCAGAAAGCCCAAGACACTCGAGCCCTTCCAGAGAGGGGCGTGGTCAGACACAGCTCATTTACATTTAAAGGAACAGACACAGAAACAGCCTGTTCTGAGCAGGGCTGAAATAGAGGGGTTTATAGACATGGTGAAATACAGGATCAGAGTGGATTTAGAACAAGAAACTTCTTGGGTCTTTTTGGCGTTTCATTAAGATGCAGAAGTTACATTTATGTATCTTGCAAACAGAGCAGAGATAGTGACATTTTTTAAATTGCAAAGATACTTTGGAAATGTTTTTGTACTGAAACAATTAAACAGCGTGCAGGAGTTTGACTTTAAGTTTTGGAAATTAAAAACCAGGAATGGTCTGTTTAAGAGGAATCGTCTTAAATGCAGATCATATGGGCGAAAAATATACGTAGACGGAGCGCCTAGCATAACGTGCTGCATCACTAGATCCCACAGCTCGAGTGATGCCAAAACCCACAACAAATTCCAACGTGTATTTATTTTTATTATATATAATTTTTCCACTCATAGTCTCATTCTGGAGATCCGTACTTTAAGCCCTGTATACATCCGTCACTCAATACCCCCCCCCAAAAAAACCCCAAAAAACCTCCACGAATTGCGTCAATTTTTTTTAACCAAAAAACAACTAATTTGCATGCATGAAAAACAAGAAATTACCCACTATTGGGCACCTATGACTTCTCAACTTGATGCTGTGGTATTGAAACAGTTCTGGATTTAATTTGAAACCTACAAGTATGGAATCAAAGTTTAAAACAGTGGTATCTCGACAACCCTAACAGGCTGTTCTTACCTTGTCTGCGAACGACTGTTGGAGATGGTTGACCTCCAAGGGTGTGATGAGAGGAACATTGTCAAAGCCATCGTCCGCCGACGGCTGTTTCTCCAGCTTGTCCGACAGATTGCTGCCCAGCTTCACCATTGCTGCCTGAAAGTGTCTGAACAGATCTGCAGAGCAGGGACGGACAGCTGAGGGTCAGACTGACTCACACTGCGTGCTGGGGAACCAAACGTGACCGCCGTACTTTTGCAGCTCAAATCAAGGATCCTAACAGAAGAAGATGAGCGTGTGATGAGGAGTTATAGAAACCTCAGCTGAGTAAATCAAAGTGTTTCTGACGCAGTAAGAAGGTTTGAGATGCAACGTTTTTTTTTTTTATTCTGGACCCCGGACTGAATAATCTCAACCAGAAATACCGCTGGAAACATCTTCATAAAGACGTGCTGCACTGAGGGTTGTTTGTAATGACTTGTCTTAAACACTGGAAGTTTTGTTGTTGTGCCATCCGTAGTTGAACACCGGTGTTTAGCGGTAAAATGCCTCCACAAGGAAGCATTGGCATGACATCTGGTGTAGACATTGATGTCCGCTTCAGGATGAATTATATAAGAGTCTGGTGAATTTTATCAAATCACGTTTGTATTTCTATGTTTGTATTTGTATACTTTTTTAGCCTTAAGCACCCAGTATTCCAGCAGAAACCTGCTAGCATGTCGATGTTAGCATTAGCTCAGAAATCAACAGCCTCAGTAAGAGTGCACAGCCATGCTAATAGCTCTGCTATAAGTTTCAATTTATTACAATTCTACAATTCACTTAGCAGACGCTTTTATCCAAAGCGACGTACATCAGAGAGTAAGTACAACACAAGCAAGGATCTAGAAAAGAGGAAACAATGTCAGTAAGAGCAAACGATCAGCTTTGAGTCTGATTGGACACACAGGTGCTGACAGGAAGTGCCCAGAGGCAAAGTACAACATTGACGGCAGTTTTTGAGAGCTCTAATCAGTATAGAAACAATCTTATAAGTCATTGTTATCAAACAAAAACAATCGTCACAACCATCATCATCATCAATGATATCGAAACCATCATCATTAAGTTAGTAGGTATTCATGAAAGAGCTGGGTCTTTAGCTTTTTCTTAAAGGTGCAGAGGGACTCTGCAGATCGAATGGAGTTTGGAAGTTCATTCATATTAGCTTGCTAATAAAATGATACACTCTAAATGCATGAAATAGTCAGATACTTTGAGTGTGTGCATGTCCTGTATTGATTTATTTTATAGCTTTTAAATATCCAACTGCTTTTATCTCTTTTTTAGTGCTTTCACACTTGCACAAAACTCCTGAAAACTCCTGATATTTCCATGCTGAGTGCGCTGAGTGTTCCAAGCATCGTGTGTGAACGCAAACATCTGAATGTTTCTCTCTTCACCCGGAGTTTCTCCTCCAGCCTCCTCGTATTTATTCTGCAGAAAGTCAGAGTGAGCTGATGTGAGAACGCAGCAGGATATAATCAAGAGAATTCACCTGGAGCGAGTGGGAGGGGGTGGTGACGTTTATTCCCTGTGATCACTGCACGACTATAGACTGTCTGCACACCACCTCTACCATCTCTGTGCTCTAATGAACCTGCTGCATTATGTTTCCTGTTCTCCAGTATGTTCTTCACATTGAGATTCTGTTCAACTACACGTAGCATTGATAGAAAGACAAATATTCTCATCATAGATTCATATAGAGGACTCTGTTACTTCGTCCGCTACTTCTGCGTCGTTCTTTTTACATCACATCTTACCTCAGTAACTCTTATCTCTGACGCTCAAATAGAAGTGTTAATTTAATGTGGCGCCGAAACACCTCTCTCTATTTTCTGTCCTCGATCAATGACGTGATCGTGTAATATGCGGAGGGAAGGAGTGAGGATCACATTCTCACAGTGCAACACAACACCTTTCCCCAGCCAAGGACCCCACGGGACCCGCTGACGCCAGTGACTCACAATGAAGGTACACACAGCAGGAGGCCGGGGCTGCGGCGTGTGATCCTGATGTACAGGAAATGTATCTTTGGGAGAGAGATACTGGATCAGTAACGAAGGCCATTAGAGCTGTCCTGTGTTAAAGAGGATCGTCTGAAGAAGAGGGTACAAAGAGGAAAGCTTCTTCAGTAATGTTGGACAGTGGATAGAGTCAGAAATCAGGGAGAGAGAGAGTGGGGAATGACATGTGAGAAAGGAGCCACAGGCTGGACTCGAACCCGGGCCGCCCGCTTGGAGGACTACAGCCTCCATACATGGGGCGCGCGCTCTAACATCTCAGTCAAGATGCAATCTAACATTTAAGACCTCACCAATGAAAACTTTTAAAGACCTTACATTTTAAAAATCTGACTTCAGACTTTAAAGGAGCGAGTGAATCTGACACAGACGGATGAGTAGTGATTATTATTGAAGAAGAAATAAGAAATAATCACCTCGTAAATGTTTTAAAAAGAGTAAGATGTCTGCTCTGATTCAGAACCGGTTCATGTGTTTTCTTATTCTGTGCAGATACGGTTTGGCTTTCTGTGCAGTAAGAGGATCTTCAGTCTGCATGCTGAAGTGGTCGTCTGTGCTGACCACCATGTTTTCCTCCCCGCAGTGTGTGAGTGGAGAGTGGGAACACTGAATCATCTTTAATCTGTGATTAACCAACGAGCAGGTTGTCGCACACTCAAACACATGCACCCTGCAGAGGAGAGCTGCGAGATGCATCATGGCAGGAGTTAAGAATTGAACTCATAGTCACATTTAGACACAGATTTTTTTCAGCTAAACTGGAGATGCAGATTTCTGAGGGTGAAGAGAAGAAATACTGTGCTTTGAATGAGAGTGAGCTGTGAATGCCTGAGCCTCTCAACTTCTCCAGTCTTCACTGCTCATGCATAAGCCTATCTGAACTTGCTGCATTGAAGACTGCTGTGACCATTTACAGGCTACATACAGGCTGTGGTAGTCAGGAATCCGGCTGCACATAAAAGAGAAAAAAAACAAGAAATATATGTGCAATTAAAGACCTTAAATGTCGGACTACAAGATGTACTCCATTGTCCATAGGCTACATGTGTGTTCCTAACACTGTACATCTTCATAGGGGAAGCTTTGTTTGTACAAAACGCGGACTCAAAGAGTCTGAACGCATCATTTAAAGCCTTTTTGTTGCCTTTTATGTAACGTGGTGTTAGCCTAGATTAAACTCAGCCCGTCACATACGCACACGCAGTCTAATAAAACATCCACACAAATAGATTTTACTTCATACATTAACTAAAGCACATTTCTAAATCAGCTGAACTAATATCTGAACATAGGCTATATCACGTCACACGGAGAAGTCCCTGCACCGGGATATACCGCAGCGTTATAGGCTCCCATTACCCGCAAACGCATCATTCTCACTCAAAGATGATGAACCCTCTGAGTTTGATATTAAATGTGGTGATTCAAAGAGGATTAAAACTCACCGTGTTCTCTGTGCTCTCCTCCGGTCGTCCGTGCTCGGTACAGGACCGCACTGTCGGTGTGAACGCCGGTTGCCGTGGTGATGAGTGATTCACGGCAGGACTGCGCATGTAATTCAGCCCTCCGGAGGAAGCAGGCAGTTCAGTGAGGATGAACGGGAAAGGGGGGGGGGTTGTGGCTGGTGAGGAAATTGCGTTTTGTCCGTGGGAAATTAAGAATCACATCTCGGTCTGTTGAGTGTTTGTCATCATTGCTGCGGCGACACTCAGTGAACATGTTTACACAAACAGCTGTTTAATATCAGCGTGGATCAGGTCTACGGAGGCCCTGAAGGTCACAGCAATATTTTTAATACTATTAATATTTCACCCTTTGTTTAAGATTGGCGCTCTCACCTTCTGCACAAAAAAAGAGAAATTAATGAGAGGAGGAGGGAGATTTTATTTTTTATGCACTTTGAGAAAAAGTGTCGAAATGTTGGAAAAAATGTTGAAATACAAAACTCCAAATATTTCACTTTGTGCAAAATACATTTCACCTAATACAAATATTCCAGTCCAATCACAAACAGTCTGAAGAGGATAAGGGATAACCGTGAGAAATATTTAATTATGCACTTCGAGGAGGAAGATTATTATGCAAAAAAAAAAAAAAAGTCGTAATGTCGAGAAAAAAGTTTAAATACGAAACACTGAAACATTTCATCTTGTGTTAAAGATAAACTGTTTCACATTCTGCAAAAAACATTTCACTTTGGGTCAACATATTTCAGTCCAACAACAAGCAAGCAGTGTAGAACAAAGAGAAGGATCAGGGTAAGATGTGAGAAATAAAAAAAGTCAAAAAGTCGAGAATAAAATTAAACACGATTTGGTGAAATTTCGACTTTTTTCTTGAAATTTCTGATTCTTTCTCAAAGTGCATAATGACAAAAATATGTTGAAAAAAATATATTCTGCACTTCAAGAAAAAGGAGAAATTTTCAGAGAAACGTTGAAATACAAAACATGCAAAAAACATTTCAATTTCAGCGTAAAATATTTCAGTCCAATCACAAACAAGCAGCTATCGTCTACGTAGGAGGAGCAGGGTCAAACATGAGAAATAAATAAGAAGAGGAGGGAGAATTTTTTATTCCATTCTGCCAAAAAAAAGTCAAAAGGCAGAGAAGAAATTTGAAATATGTTAAATCATTTCACTTTCTGCAAAAACATTTCATAAGAGGAAGATTGTATTTCCATAATGCAGAAAGGTTAAAATACAAAACACTAAAACATTTAATCTTCTACGAAAAAAAAATTCAGTCCAATCACAAAGAGCAATAAATTCCACTTAAGAGGCTCAGACATGAGAAATACAAAAGAGGAAAATGCACTCTGAGGAATAAAAGGAGAAGACAGTAGAAATTATTTTTTTCTGACATTTCGACTTTTTTGATAAATGAAATAAAATAAATCTCCCTCCTCTTCTTTTTGATTTCTCATCTCTGACCTTTCCGGTTCTTGATTATTATTTTTTTGTGTAGAAGATGAAAAGCCTTTTTGCGTCTCTTTCACATGTTTATAATAAATCATTTAAATCTTTACTATTTCACGTCAGGTTTCCTCAGAGACTGAGTCAAACTCAGCAGCTGAGCTTTGCCTTGTGAATTGAAAGAATGAAAGAAAGAATTTAAAACGAAAAAAAGAATCTTGAGAATCATTGTCAGATAAAAAAGCAGAAATGTGAATCATTTGCCGTCTTCTCTTATTTTAGACACGGCCGGTTAAAATGACATTTCTTTGTCTTCTTTCACTAAATGGATTAAAATATCTGTAATAGTTGAAAATATAAAAACAGCTTTATTAAATGATGCACATATTTGTGTTTCTGAAACTAAAAGATGACGATTGTTTTTCAATAATCGCTGATTTAAGAAAGAAAATGTAAAAATAAAAAACAGTTACTTTAGCTGCCCGGTCTTTGTACAGGCCGACGCTTTGACAACAATTTAAAACAAAAAAATAACCACATTTAATTATTTAAATCAGGGTTTCTCAACTGGTGGGTTGGGACCCAAAAGTTGGTCGCGTAGCCGTTTTCAGCAGGTCGCGAATGTGTTCCTGGAAAAAATAGATTGTCAACAAGTCGATGAAGCGCTTTTTAAAAGATGTTTGTTTTTCCGTCTGAGGTCCAAACGGATCAATCTCTCATAGAACGAATCTGATTGGTTAAAAAATATCTGGAATTCAAGTTGTGGTTTTTCCATGAGGGAGTTGGTGGTGGGTCCTGAGGCTCGACCCGTTGAGAACGATTGATTTAAACAACATGTACGCTCTTTGTCTTCTTCGACTCTTCTGATGCTGATTTTTATTTGTAGGTCAAAGGTCAAGGTTGATCTGTTTTTATCACGGTCTGAAGTGTAAATCATAAAGGAAGAAGCAAAACTGAATCCTCAGATCAAGGACAAAGTCTGAGGAAGAAACGTCTCTCGTCAATGACTCCTTTGAACGGGAGCTCCTCGGGGTGCAGGTGTCTTTTTTTATTGTTCATGAAGAGTGAAACATGCAACATGAAACAAAGACACCGTTAGATTTGATTTTTCTATCATTTTATATTTTTAACCAGGAGAGCTTAAACACACAGGAAAGTCAGAGGAGCTGAACCGGCACCCTGCAATTTAAAATGTCTTGACATGTTTATTTTTGTTTTTTTAGTTTAACGAGTATTTTTTACAAAAATATAAAGCAAAATTCTCCTCGACACTCAGTTTGTAACGATGGTCAGAGGGTCATGAAGCTCTGAAGGCGTGGCGTTGAAGTTCACAGGCGCAGATATCATGAGAGCTCGACAACTCTTTAAAGACTTCTTCAGACTTTTATTTCTTATCAGTCGACTCTTAAATCAAAGATGTCAGATCCACGGTGAGGCTGAGGAGATGGTGTGTGTATGTGTGTGTTTGCGTGTGTGTGTGTGTGTGTGTGTGTGTGTGTGTGTGTGTGTGTGTGTGTGTGTGTGTGTGTGTGTGTGTGTGTGTGTGTGTGTCTGTCTGTCTGTGTGTGTGTGTGAGAGAGAGAGAGACTGAGGGTGATGTGTTGGAGAACGAGCGGGACGAGGAAGGAGCCAGGCTCGTCTGCACATTTAGATCAACCTTTTCATGGGAAGAGGCCCCCTGATGTGTTCCTCTTTGGCTGAGCCTGACTGTATGAATTCATTATTCCTTTAAGGGAGCACTCGTGCAAAAATCAGCTTCGAAACCCCCCGCCGACCCATCAATTGGGCCTACATTTATTATTTTGACCTTTCCTTTGCGGGGGAGTGACATCAAAGTGGATCCTGGACGGTGTTGTCATCCTCTCAGTGTGAGAGGCAGACTGCCGGCCTGCACGGGTTTTTGTTGTCAGAGAAAGAAGAGAGACGGAGTCTGGGTCGACATAATTAAAATGAGAATCAATTAGGGAGCAGGGGTGACGGAGGAAAAACAAGGGGGGGGGGGGGGTGACCAGGCGTGTTAATGTGTGGGCATGCTTGTGCCTCTAAACCTCTTACACAACAATTGTAAGTTTGTTTTATTCTTAAAGCTCCTGTGAGGAACTTTTAGTTTGAGGTGAATTTGGCACCCCCCTGTGGACAAAGTCACCTGTTTTAGTAAAGTGCATGTGCGTCTTTCTTTAAAGGAAGAATGTGCGACATGTTTCATATATATATCAAATATATCATAAATCCAGTGTATACTTTGTAAATGTGTCTCTGAGTCATGACTGTCTACAATGAGTGAGAAGCTCGAGTCCCGCTGGCTGTGTTGTTGTCAGAGCCGTGTTTACATGGACGGGACGGCCGGCTCCTCCCCTTGTGTATAAAACTGTTTTAGTCAAGGACTAGAGAGAAGAACATCACTGATTATTTGGATGTTAGTAAGAGTTTTTAGATCACGCTCATTCTGTGTCAATTTATATGAAATGTGAAGCTACGAGCTAACTAAAGAACACTAACATTAGCATGCTAACACAACAATGCAGCACACAGGTGATAACACCAAGGACACTTGTGTCTCTGCAGGAGGGCGGAGGCTTCAGTATGGAGGAGGTGTGGCCAAACAGCAGTTTGTTTTGGTTTCATGCTGGAGCTCAAGCGCGACATCTACTGGACCAAAAGAAAAAATAAATAAAAATTAAACCAATAAAGTCCATATTTCCAAGATGGCCATGTTGAAGTGAGATCCCGCTCAGGGTGGGAGCCTTTACGTTGTTGTCATGTCTTATTACGCTTCAGTTTTAACTCGTAAAATGTGACAGGGTAATAAAGAGAGACTATGGGCGCTGTCTCACTGGCCATCTGTACCGTGCCCAAGCACGCTTCAACGCTAAAGTCCAGTTCGTTTGACCAGTGTGACCGCTCTGTATCGTGCTTAAGCACGGTACACTTCCTTGGCTTTGGCACACTTCGGAGAGGTGTGCTTCAGCATGGTACACTTCATGCACAAGCACGCAGGTACACAACGCTGACAGCCTTCATTATTGAGAAATCCAGAGTTTCATGGCTGTATCTGACAATATAAGACACAAAGTAGCTGTCATGTTCTCTGTGTTGTTCTCCGATGTGCGGGCGTCTGCGCGTCTATTTTATTTATTTTATTTATTTATTGCTGTGTCTGATTAAAATGGCCGCAAAGTCAGTACAGTAGCTGTCATGCTCTCTGTGTTTTTCTCTGATGTGCAGACGCGGACTCGACTGCACATCAGCGTGCATGTGTTGTATTACGAAGTTATGTACAAGAGGTAATCATGCTTTTAGGCACGGTTAGTCCTGGCCAGTATGACCGCGGGCCGTGCCGGCCAGCGTGGGAATGGCGCAGCGGGGGGGCCAATCGTGCTTGAGTATAGCACGGTACACATGGCCAGTGAGACCTTGCCCTATGACTGTTGAGGAAAGACCGTGTAACGTCAAAGACAAAGACTACTTGTTGACCTTGCTACAAGATAGTGTTGTAGTCAATAGCATACTAACTGAGACCAGGACATACCCGAGACCATAAATATCACTGAAAAATCATCATCTTGTGTGCAGGGGGAGTGTTAATCATTCAGACTGTAAGAACGTAGCGGCTGTAACCTGGGGATAAAAATCAAACTACAAATTAATTGAAGTTATTTGTTCTTT